GGTAGTGAGGTTGGCCCAGGATCAGACATTGTTTCGTTCTGCTGTGCGTGGGGTCGCTATGAGTCGGTTCCGACTCGATGGCACCTGACAACAACAACGCCTATTGATGTCAACGTTTATATGTTCCATTTCATTTTTGACAATTTTGTTATCCTACAGTCATACTTCATACATTCCATGCTCTGATTATTAATAGATGTTTACAGCTATTTCTTTTCGAGTTGTATCCCATCAGCAAATGAAGGTCCTGAAGGCTTTACTCCATTTGCGTCATCATGGTCAACTCTAATTTGAAGAGGCAGCTCTTCCCGAGTCGTACTTTGAGTTTGAGTGCCTTCCAATATTATATCTAATATTCTGGTGCTCGTCATGTTTCAATAGTCAACATTCTGGTGCTGACAGCGTTCCACTACTATTCATAAGGTTTTCAGTTACTAAATATTTGGAAGTTGTCTGCCTGTCCTGCTTCCTGTTCTTAGTCTGGAAGCTCAGCTAAAACCTGTCCATCATGGGTGACCCTGCTTATATTTAAAATACCTGTGGCATAGCTTCCAGAATCACAGCAACACACAAGTCACCTGTGCAAAAGCAGCTGTGAGCCATTAAGTACCATAGAATTGGTTCCCACTCCAAGGCTATAAATCTTTTTGGAAACAAAAAGGCTCATCTTTCTCTCCCATGAGGTGGCTAGTAGATTCAAACTACTGACCTTGCAGTTAGCAGCCTAACTTGTAACCAACTACACTACCTGTGTAGGGCACAGGAAGTTTCACTTTAACAAATATCCTTGGCGATTCTACGATGTTTCCACAGATCACATTTTTGAGAAACACTGATTATTCTGGCAAGCATTATATAGGTTGTTGTTAAGTGCTGTGGAGTTGGTTCCAACTCATACTGACCCTGTATAGAGCTTCCGAGGAGCATCTGGTGGGTTTGAACTACTGACTTGTGGTTAGCAGTCCAGTGCGTATCCTACAGAGCCACACCAGGAATTATTTGGGGGTTAAGGTATTGATAGTACCTGTTTATATTTTTGTAACGTGGCTACTAGAAAACTTACAATTACATACATAGCTTGCACTTGTGGTTTGCATTATTTATTTCTACTAGGCAGCACAGCTCTATGCCATGTTCTGTCTTATAAATTTGAGCTAAAAACAAGGCTTACCGACAAGTGAAATCAACAGCGAAAATATCTCAAAAAAATTGAGGACACTGGTTTGCCATTTGGAGATACTTTGGAATTTAAGCAGGATTTCAATTAAGACAGAGCTTAGACACTGATATGTGTTTTATTTACTAATTAGAGCTGATTAATTATTTACTAATTAGGCAGGTGCTGCCTCTGAATTGGTGGTATAATTCCCAAGCTGTGGCCTATAAGATTTGTAAGAAAAGCAAACTCAGTGCTGATTACTCTTCTTTGTAGAAATACAGTTAAAATTTAAAATTTCATTTCAACAGACTGGGCCAGATTGCCAAATTCCTACTGACAGTATACATCCAGGTTTACTTTGGCTTGAGTCAAATTAGGTATCACCATCACGCCCACCGTTGTCTGTGGTACAATGCTGTGCCAGAAAGACATCTGAACTTACTCTTCAAATATCCCACCCATTCTGCTCACTTGGAGTCCTGGTGTGGCAATGCGGGACAATGTGCTAGACAGCAAGGTCGGTTTGAACTGCAAGGTCACTGGTTCAAATCCATGAGCTGCTCTTTGGAAACCTTTTAAAGGTCACTCTGAGTTAGAACCGATTCAATGGTACTTAACTACTCACTTGGAAAGGCAAACCTTTCTTCCACATTTACCCCTTCAGCGCAACTTGGTAATTGTTCTATATAAACATTGAGTTTGCTTTCATTTTTTTTGGTAAAGGATCTATTTTCTGTGCTTGTGAGTCCTTTAAGCACTTTAACAACAAATTATTTCAATATGTAATCAATACTCTAAAATTGAGCTATTCTTTTTTGGTAGGTATCTAGCATGCAGTATTATTTTTGCTATCTAGTATTTCTTTTACAGCATATGTCTATTTGGACTGGTCACAGTTCAGGTGTTCAACAGATACTGGCTAGAGGTTTCACTGTGAGTTTATCCAACTGATGGTGACCCTATTTAAGGTTTCTGAGATTGTAAACCTTTACAAGTAGACCACCTCATCTTCCTCCTTTGGGCCAGCTGGTGGGTTTGAACTGCCACCACTGCAGTTAGAAGCCCAGTGTCTAACTCACAGTGTCACAAGGCTCCTTTGTAAATTAAAAAGTGAGGTTCAAATACTTGAACTGGCATCAAGTTGGAAGCATGTTCTAAGTGCTGAATCACAGGCCTAAATATTAAATCAGAGCCTGCATTTTAACCTGATCTCTGTGAAACATGAAAAACAGTTGTCTAAGGCAACAGCAACTTGATGGCACTTAACAACAAGGCACCAGTTGGCAAACTACAGTCCATGGGCCAAATCCAGTCAGTGATCTGCTTTTATAAACAAAGTATATATATTGTCATGAGAGACCAGTCTCTGGAGAAGGATCTCATGTTTGGTTAAGGTGGAGGGTCAGAGAAAAAGAGGAACACCCCCAGCGAGATGGATCGGCAAAGTGACAGCATCAACGGGCAGAAGTGTGGCAACAATTTTAAGGTTGGCCCAGGATCGGGCAGTGTTGCGTTCTGTTGGCATAGGGTTGCTATGAGTCGGTACTGACTCAATGGCACCTAACAACACCACAATTGGGATTCAGACACTCATTCATTTACATATTGTCTCTGGCTGCTTTTGTTACACCATTAAAGCTGAATAGTTGCATCTGGAATCAAGAGGCCTACAAAGCCTAAAATATTAGTTATCGGGCCCCTTTCAAATAATTTTTGTAAAGGAAGACAGCTTCTGTCACTCACTAGATACATGATCTCAGGCAAGTCACTGGTCTCAGGTTCTTCATGTGTAGAATAAGGGTGACAATAATCCTTACCTTGCAGGACCATTGTGAAAATCTCTGCTGGTTTTACTCAATAGAATGACATATGATTGAGATTTTAATAAGTGGTTATACTGACTAAGGTCTGACGATCTAGTTTGAAGCATCAGCCCATCAAAACTTTACGGAACACAGTGATTGTGGGGCTGGCACACAAGTACAGCAGTGCTGTATTCCGTTGTACATGGGGTACATCCTGAGTCCATGAGGGGCCAACTCAAAGGCAGCTGAGCAATAACAATGAACAATATTTAAGTAGGTAGTGTGATAGCATGGGCTTTGGTACTTAAGTGTGAGAAGTATAAAGTATGCAAGTCATTTAACTTGAGGCTAAATGGCTTTTCTTAACTCTAAATCTGAGCTCATACCTATTTTCCAGGGTTGTTGTGAGGATAGTTATGAGTATAGTTGCAGCTATACTCATGATGAAAGACATATTTAGTAAAGAAGAGGGGTCAGCAATAAAGAGGAACCCTTCAACGAGTTGGAATGACAGTGGCCACAACAATGGCTCAAACACAGCAACGACGGTGTAGGGCTGGGTAGTGTTTCATTTTGGAGGTAAGATTACTACGAGAATCAACTTGCTCATCCCTCACAGTAACAGCTATATTCACGTACTGGCTAGGCCAAAAGTATACTGTAAACCACTAGAATATCAACTGTGCTGGTATTCCCAACTTACCACGGGGTTCCCTTGTGATGACTGGTATAAGCTAGTTCTGACATAAGTTGAATACCTCATTAAAATTTTTTTCATTATGACTTTTTATTGTCTATACCTTTATAAACCTGGTACTGTTTTGAACAGTAAATCAAAATTGAGTACCTGTGAGTGAACATTTGAGGAAGATAACATTAGCAAATTATGTGCTATAATGATAATGTATTATTTAATGGTAAAATTGAAAAAAAAAAAAAAGAACCCCACCACCAAAAAATGGATGGTTGTAAGTGCAGTTTGTAGTAACTTGAATATGATGTAAGTTGGGGACTACCTGTTGTAACAAATCATGCTACGTTTGCTAGTTCACATGGCCTTTTATCCCAAACCAAAGTGTTATTTTTGAGGATCCAATTTATAATCCAAAAGCAGAATTGAAGGACAGAAAAAACATTTATTTGAAAAAATTACTATGTATTGAAAATATACATTAGAAATTATTACATACTTCCATAGCAGTCCCCTCCCCCATCACAAAAGTAGAAATATCTGCTTGCTATGCTAATGTCATAGGTAAATTCAACCAAAAGTAAACATCATCAGTCCCCTTTCCTCATACATTAGAACTGGGAGGGGGGAGCAGGGGGCGAGGGAGGGAGAGATTCAACTTCTATTTGCCGATCAGTAAGAATTTAACAAGTCCCAATCTTCCACAGTAAGACATACATATTTCTGCTTTGAAGACTGTGAAGAGCTATTCTGTTCGTTCTCTGGATCCTCAAAAGGTCTCTTCTTTGACTCCTGGCACAGGGCAGACTCCCGTTTCAACAGCTGCCCATGGCAGTCTGGGGCTTTCTCTTTATAGAACTGGAGTTTCTCAGAAGAGTTCATGTGGGTGTCTGCTAGGGGGCACTTGACTGGAGTTTCTGTTCGAGATCGCTTCCCATCTAAGAGAGTGACAGAGGGAAGGACTATGAGTTGGACTACACTGGTAAGCAAATAATTGCAGGAAGTCTAGAAAGATGACCCAAGGGAGGTGACAAAGGCACAAACAGGGTAATGTCTGGATAATTTCATTTTGAGTGCCCTGTACAGTAATGACAGTATATGCTCCAGCACCGGTTGAAGGCAGGTAGTATTAATATTGGAGACTGACAAGTTTGGAATCAAATCCCAAATCCCAGCTATGCCACTTACAGGATAAGTGACCCTGTGCAAGTGACTCTCTGAGATGGAATTTTCTCATCTTTATGACGTTAGAAAAACTATTTCATAACAATGATACACAGGTACATGAGATAATTCATGAAAAGCACAGTGATTGGTATATAGTATAAACGTTCAATAAATGCTAGCTATTATCAAACAAAATATGGACTTAACTGTCTTCTAAGAAGCTGAAAAGTCAAACCTGTGGTTCAATTTTAGCACATGATACCAGTTTACTCTAAATTTTTTGGTGTGCCTTGTATTCTTCCGTTAACCTTCTTTCCTCTTCACTTCAATTTTATCTAATTTCTTTCTAATCTTCGGTATTCTATCTACTTTTGTAGCATCACAAATTCTTTTCGAAACAAAATGAAATATGAAAAATAATTCCTAAAAGTGGTTTTCCTAGTGCTGGTGCTCAATTCAGAACTGAAATTAAACTTGCACACTAAGATATCTTGAGAGAACATAGTCTTTGGTTGTTGTTGCTAAGTGCCATCGAGTCAGTTCAGACTCACAGTGATCCTGTCCTAGGGTTTCCGAGGAGCGGCTGGTGAATCTGAACTACCATCCTTGCAGTTCAAACTGACCTCGTGGTCCAGTGAATTATGCTGTAGCATCACACCAGGACTCCCTAAGACTGAACTTGTCTGTAAGCCACACACTGACTGCAGAGACATGTTTAGACATGTTTTGCTTGGAATAAGCCTGTGCATGGAACCCTACTAGCAATATGTTTTGACTTACACTGGTAAATCAATGCTATCATAATTCATTTTCTTATTGAGTGAAGACAGACAGGTCAACTACTTCAAGGCTGCAAAGAGCCTAAAGGAAAAGAACTCCAAGGAAAGGGGATTTCTCACAGAAGTGCTGAGCTGCCATCCGAGGCTCCGAGTTTTCTCGTGGCTTCACAGCTTCTGAAGTCACACGCTCCCACTGCAGAACGATCTAAAAGATACCTGAAGATTTTAATCTGCACAAAACCTCAAGCTCTTCACCTCAAGCCTTCTTCTCCCTGGCTGCCTCCCCATAAACACAAACTCCTGTGGTAGATTTTACTTCATATGACTGGTGATAATAACAATTTGCTCATCTGGATTTTCTGTTCTAATGCAGGAGCTGAGTCCAAATACAAACATACTGGGTTTGTTTTTAACTCAGGAAAATCTGTAAAACTGAGTCCTGGTCCTATTTTCATCATAATTCTAAGTAAGACACAAACTATATCTCTCTTAAACTAAATACTAAAAATTACAATCTTAATTCTAATACTTTTCACACACTCTAGACTGCCACGCCTTAAAATATACCAACTACAACTCACAACACTCATTTGTGTGTAAAATGACCACGTTCCTGTATTTTCAATACTTCCTGATCAATTTCCATTAAAAAAAATATATACTATAATTGTATTTTTTATTGTCAGCTACTATGAGTTCTTTGGAAATTTGAGTATAAACTATATACACAGTTTGTTATTGTTGTTGTTATGTGCCGTGGAGTCGGTTCCGACTCATAGCGACCCTATACAGGGTTTCCAAGGCTATAAATCTTTACGGGAGCAAAAAGCCTCATCTTTCTCCTGCGGAATAGCTGGCAGTTTTGAACTGCTGACCTGAGATTAGCAGCCCAATTCGTAACCACTATGTTACCAGTTAAGTGTACCTTAATGTCCATAACACACAGGAGTGATTTAGACACTGTACAAATACCGTATTATACACAGGCAGTTCTGGGTCCAAAGTGTGTCTCTATGTAGAATTTGTCCATTAAGTCAGAAATAGTTAGGTGTGCGCTTTGTACCTAATGTCAGTGATTCAAATGTTTTATCTAAGAATGTTGTTGTTGTTGTTAAGTGCTTTCAGTGTACCTTTGTTCTTTTTTGAGACTCATAGCAACCATGGAAAGGGTTTCTAAGGAGTGGGTGGTGAATCTGAACTGCCAACCTTGCAGTCCAATGCATTATCCCACAGTGCCACACCATGACTCCATCTTAGTACATATAGTATAATTTATCTTTCTATGCATAAAAAACAAATATACTTCCAGATTACACTCAAACATCTGTAGCAAAATATAGTAATAATAACATTTTGATATGCATTAAAAAGTACAATCCATTTGTTATTATGAACCATTGTATGCATCTTGACTTTTTAATATAATGGGCTTTATAGGGGTTGGGACCAAACATTAATCACAATTGGCTATGCCAGCACATGACTATAAATAAAATAAATTATCATTTCACATATATCATGAGTAACATGAACTTTGGCATGCAATGAATCCATCATAAAGGAAATAAAGAAAAATATTTCACAAGACAAAGGCAGTACAATATAGTGTTTACGAAGAATAGTTCTAGAGTTAGTTTCACCATTTACTAGCCAGGGGACCCTTAGCAAGTGATTAGTTTCTAAGTCTCATTTTCTTCATCTGTAAAATATGGATTAGTAATAGTACATATCTCAGAGGGCTGTTGTGAAGATTAAATGAGATAATGTACATGAAAGGTTTAGCATAGCATCTGACACACAGAAATCACTTAATATCTGTTGTCCTCTCTCTCTGAGCTAAGTGAATGCCAAGATGGATTAAAGTCTTAGAATCTGACAATAGGGTAGGATATAGAGCAAATCTTATTTCCCAGTAACAGAAATAAGAATGTCAATAGGAGAAGCAGTTTGAAGATGGCAAAGAAGAAAATGAGTTTGGTTCTGGACAAGCTGAACTTGAGGGACCGGGTGGAGATTTAGAAAAGGGGGTCTGATAGCAACCATTTTAATAAGGGATCAATATGAGAAGGATAAATCATTCTTAGATGGCATGATGCTGCAATGAAACCAATCAGTTTCCTTTCAGACCAGGTTTTACTGAATCCTCACCAAGTCTCACAAAGTAAGTCCTGGTTTCTATATGATCCAGTCATACTACTGGATCCCAAACCCAGGTCTCTTTTATTCTACAGCCTATGTGCTTCCCATCACATCACCTGCCACCATCATTTGTGGTAGGTGATGTGATGGGATGCACAAAGGATGCATCTAGGACTCATCCCAATGCTATAAACTTGGTCTGGCAATGCAGTGTGATAATTATTTCACAAGCATGTGCTAGACCAACCTGAAGGTGATACTCAAACAATGAATTACCAGTACCCCATCTTCCTCACCTAGAAAGAAGTAAGGCTACAATTAGGTAGTGTGATTGGGTCTGCCATTATGCACTACAGCTTGGAGATAATCAAAGACTAGGAAGAAGTAGTTTGGTGGGTCCTCTCGTCAAGAACCATAGGTTAAAAGTATGTGAAGGAGAAAGGCACCAGCCCCAGGCAAGCAGACATCCGCTGGTGCTGTGTTACTTGGTTACTCCCTGTGTTACTTGGTTACTCTGTACTTTATTGAGTTGAGGAATGCCATCCAGAAGACAAGGCAGGCAAGGCAAAATTCAGCCAGGAAGTTAAAAATAGAAAGGCTCAATGAAGACAAAAAAGTCACTTCCATTTCCTCACTAAGGTTCAGACGGTTAAGAAATTTGCCCAAAAGAAAAGGAAGAGCTGGATTTGCACCCCTGTGAGTGTGGCACTAGAGCTGATTATCTTTCCAGTCTGTACACACAGCTAAGCGAATTAGCCGTTCTGAAGTTGGGTCATACTGTTTTTCTGCACAGCAAGCCAGAATTTAACATAGTTTTGAGGTCATATGTAAGTTGGCATTTTTCTCTTAGGTCCAGGAAAAATGAAGTATTAATTTAAAGACTGGCATCTAACACTAGCTCCTCAAACAGCTGGGTCAAGTTACAGCCCATCAGTATCTCTGATATGACATGAAGATGACAACTCAGCTAAGAGATAACAATAGGATTAATGCTTGTTCAAAGAGTTGGGAAGAGAAATCAGCAGTACCTGATCAGCCCAGCCCTCTGTCTTGCAGTTACTATGGTCAAATTCCTTCAAAGGCACTTTGGAGTGAACGAGGCCTATGTGAGTCTGAAGCTTGTGTTTGATGGCCTTGATGTCCTTGTAAAGGAAAGAGAGAACAGAAATGCACAGCACGTATTTAGTCAATTCTTAACTTGCTTTCAGTAGGAAATAAAAAACCACCATAAATGCCATCCCTTTCTAAATGCCCGTTGTTGTTAAGTGACAATTAGTTAGTTCTGACTCATAATGACCCTGTACAGCATTTCAGAGGAGTGGGTGGTAGGTCTGAACTGCTGACATTGCAGTCACAGTCCAGTGTTTATTGTAATACTTTATCAGGACTCCAAAAATGTCCATTAGCAGAAACAAAATAGATGTTCAGAATTAATCATACATAATCTCTGTCAACTGAAAACAGAGAACAAAAGTCTTACCTTGAGCCCTGTTCCAGAGATATCTAGGCAGTTTAGTTTTCTAAAAGAAAGGAGGTATCCAATTCCTGCATCTGTGATCTCAGGGTTGCCTAGATGTCAAAAACAAAGATATTATTTGTTTACAGTATAACTTTTGCTAAAATGCCAATTATAAGTTTCAAAAAGTTTAGGCAATGATATACTATACAATGCTTTCAGAATAAATTAAATATATAAGGAGTAACACAAGATGATCCGTTTGACATTTTGTATCTCTTATCAATTTGGTGGTGCTCAGGAAAAAAATAAACCAGGCAGTTATCCTAAAGGGCTTAATTTGGAACTACATGAAATCAACATATATAAATATGTATTAAAATGCTCATTATTTTGATCACAGCCATTTTGCCTCAAAAGTAAAAGCGTTTTTTTTAAAGACTTTTAAGGATACTTAAGACATAGAGACTATTACAACTCTTATAAACTCACTTTTTTTTACAGAATCTTTTCTTACATATTACCTTCTCATATCAGACAGGACTCTATTAAGCAATGAATCCTTGAGGGTTAATACACAGAGAGTCTGGTGCACTGTAGCTGCTCACAAAGTTATTTATTTAATGAATAAGTTTCCCTGCCAGCTAGGGTGGAATTCATTATCTTCACTTTACAGAGGCCAAAACCACAGCTCTGAGAAATTAAATAACTTGACCAAGAGCAACAGGTGCAAGCGAGTAGCATCAAGTATGGTACTTTGACCTCAAGGCACCTTCTATTTGTTTCAGCACCATACCATCCAGCCATATGTTCTATGGATGCTCAGGTAAACCATAAATGGTCTCCAACAGGTTTCTTGTTATTAGGTTGTTGCTAGGTATCATCAAGTCTGTACTGACTCATAGCAACTGTAAACACAAAAGAACAAAACACTTCCTGGTCCTGAGCCAATCTGACATTCATTGCTGTATTTGAGCCCAAGGCTGCTGACCCTGTGTCAATCCACCTCGTTGGGGGCATGAGGGGTGGGAGGTATCTTCCTCTTTTTCTTTAACCCAAAACTTTACCAAGCATGATGTCCTTCTCTAGGGACTGGTCTCTACTGATAATATATGTCTGAAGTATGAGAGACAAAGCCTGGCCATCCTGGCTTCTAAATAGCATTCTGGTTGTATTTTTTCCAACACAGATTTGTTTGTTCTTCTGGCAGTCCACTGAACTTTTAATATTCTCCTCCAACACCATAACTAAAATCAATTTTAATACTATCTTCTTTATTCGTTTTTTAACTTTCACGTATATATGAAGAGACTGAACACCATGGTTTGGGTCAGACACACCATAGTCCACAAACTGACATCTTTGCTCTTGAACACATTAATGTGGTCTTGTGTAGCTGATTAGAAGATTTGCCTAATGCAATGGATCATTTGATTTCTTGAATGCTGCTTCTTTTGAGTGTTGATGGATAATCCAAGCTAAACGATGTTTTTGACAATTTCAATCTTTTCTCCATTTATCTTGAAGTTTATTGGTCCAGTGGTGAGGATTTTTTGTTTTCTTTACACTGAGGTGTATCCCATACTGAAGGCTGTGGTCTTTCATCTTCAAAAGTAAATATTTTTAAATCTTCTTCACTTTCAGCAAGTAAGGTTGTATCAGCTATGTATCTCAGGTTGTTAATGAGTATTCCTCCTATCTTGATGCCATGTTCTTCATATAATCCAGCTTCTTGGATTATATGCTCAGCATACAGAATGAGTAAGTATGGCAAAAGAATACAACCCTGGTGCATACCTCTCCTGATTTTAAACCATTCAGTGTCCCCTTGTTCTATCTGAATGACTGCCTCTTAGTCTATGTACAGGTTCCTCATGAGTGCAAGTTAAGTGTTCCAGAATACTCATTCTCGTCAACATTGTCCATAATTTGCATGATCCACACAATCAAAATCTTTGGGTAGACAATAAAGCACAGGTAAACATTTTTCTGGTATTTTTTGTTTTTAGCCAAAATCTATCTGACATCAGCAATGATATTTCTAGTTCCATGTCCCCGTCTGAAACTGGCCTGAACCTCTGGTAGCTCCCTGTCAATGTACTGTTGCAGCTGTTTTTGAATTACCCTTAGCAAAAATGTAGTGCAGTATTAATGATACTGTCTGATTTTTGCATTCTGATTGGTCAACTCTCTTTGGAATGGACATAAATTTGGATCTCTTCTGATCAGTTGTCCAGGTAGGTGTCTTCCAAATTTCTTAGCATAGATGAGTAAGTGCCTCCAGTGCCACATTAGTTTTCTGAAAGATTTCAATTTGTATTCCATCAATTCCTGCAGTCTTGTTCTTTGTCTATGCCTTCAGTGTACCTTGGACTTCTCCCTTCAGATCACTGACTCTTAATCATATGCTACCTCTTGAAACAGTTGATCATCAACCATTTATTTTTGGCACAGAGACTCTGTGCATTCCTTCCACCTTCTTCTGATGCTTTTTGCATCAATCAATATGTTGTCCAATGTTGTTAAGTGCCATCGAGTTTGAACTGCCGACCTTGCAGTTCAAACTGACCTTGAGGTCACTTGAGGTCACCTGGGGTCAAGTGCTTATCATCCTATGGTGCCACACCAGGACTCACTCAATATATCAATTTGAGGCTTGAATTTTTTCTTCAGTTCTTTCAGCATGAGAAACGCTGAGCATGTTCTTTCCTTTTAGTTTTCTAAAAATCCAGGTCTTCGCACATTTTATTATAATATTTAACTTGGTCTTCTCAAGCTGCCCTTTGAAACTTTCTATTCAGTTCTTTTTACCTCCCCATTTATTCCACTTGCTTTAGCATCTCTATCTGGAGAATAAGTTTCATAGTCTTTTCTGACATCCATTTTGGTCTTTTCCTTCTTTCTTGTCTTCTTAATGATCGTTTGCTTTCTTCCTGCATTATGTTCTTGATGTCGTCTCACAACTCTTCTGGTCTTTGGTCATTAGTGTCTAATTCATCAAATCTGTTCTCCAGATGATCTCTTACTTCAGGTGGGATACGTTCAAGGTTTTATTTTGGCTCTTGTGGACTTGTTTTAATTTTCTTCAGCTTCAGCCTGAACTTGAATATGAGCAATTGATGGTCTGGTCAACACTGCCCTTGGCCTTGATTTGGCTGATCATATGGAGCTTTCCCACTGTCTCTTTCCACAAATGTAGTCAATTTGATTTCTGTTTGTTCCATATGGCGAGGTTCATGTGTACAGTCATCTTTCATGTTGTTCACAAAAGGTATTTGCATAATCAACAATAGAAAAATGATTACAAATGAAAAAAAAATGTTAAGCTATTACTGTGAAAAAAAAAAAGGTATTTGTAATGAAGAAGTTATTGGTCTTGCATAATTCTATTATGTAATCTCCAGCATCATTTCTATCACCAAGGCCATATTTTCCAACAACTGATCCTTCTTCATTTCCAACTATATATTCTAATCATCAGTAATTATCAAAATATCTTGATTGCATATTTGATCAATTTCAGCTTGAAGAAGTTGGTATAATTCTTCAATTTAATCAACACTGCCTTTAGTGGTTGGTATAAAGTTAGAATAATAGTTGTATTAACTAGTCTTCCTTGTAGGCATATGGATAATATCCTATTACAGACAGTGTTGTACTTCAAGATAGATCTTGAAATGTTCTTTTTTATGATGAATACGATGCCATTTCTCTTCATTTTGTCATCCCTGGCATAGCAAACCATGTAAATGTCACATTCAAAATGGCCAATACCAGTCTATTGTGGCTTACTAATGCCTAGGATGGAGTCCTGGAGTGGCACTGTGGGTTAATGTGCTAGACTGCAAAGTCGGTTTGAACCACAGGTCTGCAGTTCAAGTTCACTAGCTACTCCTTAAAAACACAATACAGAGTTGCTATGGGTCGGAACTGACTCAAAGGCACTTAACAACAACAATGCCTAGGATATGGATGTTTATGCGTTTCATTTTCAACAACTTCCAATTTACCTAGATCATACTTTTTACATTCCAAGTTCTGATTATTAATGGATATTTTTACATGGTTCCTCCTCATTTTGAATTGCTACCATCAGCAAATGAAGGTTTCAAAAGTTTTACTCCGTGTCTTCACCATCATCTCTACTTTGAAGAAGCAGCTCTTCCTCAGTTGTATTTTGAGTACCTTGCAACCTGAGGGGTTCATCTTTGGGCACTACATCTGACAATATTCTGATCCTCTTCATCATGTTTCATTATTTAATATTCTGGTGTTAACAGTGTTTCACTGCTATTTATAAAGTTTTCAGTGACTAAATATTTGGATGTAGTCAGTCTCTCCTTTTTCCTAGTCTGTCTGTCTGTCTGTAAGCTTAGCTGAAACCTGTCCACCATGGATGACCAGGTTGATATTTAAAATACCAGTGACATAGCTTCCAAAATCACAGACATGCAAGCCTCCAAAATATGACAAACTGACAGGCGAGTGAGTGGTGGAATTTTTACCACAGGAGTCAACAGCTGGTTAATCCTGAAGGAGTTATCATCATTGTGCTATTGTCTAGATAGATGTTTATCAGGCAAATGATAAAAAAAAAAACAAAAAAAAAACCACCTAGCTGACAGACAGCATCAACCAGAGACCTATATAAAACATTAATATCACATACATAGGCAACGAATATGATGAAAGGTTGCCTGGTCTGCAGATGCTATAGTTAAGTAACAGGAATGAATCTACAAGGCTTTCCCTGTTCCAAAGAGGTGACAGTGTGCCAGGAAAGGTTTTTGGCTACCAGTCAAGAGCCTCCAGCTTTAGTCCTGCTCTGCCACTAACTTGCCAGATCATATAAGAAAGGCAGCTCTGCTCAATTTTATCATCTTTAAATGAAGGAGAAGAAGCAGACAATCGCTAAGGCTGTTGTTCCAACATGAATAATCTATAATGTCTAATAAAACTTACAAGATAAGTCTAACAATGTCAGATTTTCAAGGCCTCTTTTCATCACTCGAACTGGTGCTGTCATTTTCCGTACCCCGGCATCAGATAAACAATTGTCCTTCAGGTGGAGTTGGGTTACACTAGGGAAGCAAAGCCCACACATAAATTACTTAAAGAGAGTTTGAGGAAGTGTGAGAACATACTTCAAATCTTCATTTAAAAAACAACAAAATATCTTCCAGTTCCTGCAATTTAATACTAATGTATTTAAGAATTAAAGATCTTTTGGTGCCATTTCAGTTAGTCAGTGATGGTGGTGGTGGTTGTTGTTAAGTGCCATCAAGTCAATTCTGACTCATAGCGACCCAGTATAAGGATCCCTAGTGTGGCACAGCCAGAGAAGCACTGGACTATGAGCCACAAGAGGTCAGCAATCAAAACATACCAGCTGCTCCTCAGAAATCCTGCACAGGGTTGCTATGAGTCAGAACCCACTCGACAGCACCTAACAACAACAAAACAACATAAGGTTTCCAAGGCGTGCTGGTAGGTTTAACCAGGGAGCAAAGTGTCATGTAGTGCTAACCTCTGATGGCAGAGGGCACTAAAGGTGTACAGTCCGATGAAGTAAATGGTGGTGGTGGTTATGTGCTGTGGAGTCAGTTCTGATTACACAGAGTTTCTGAAGCCTCATCTTTCTCCCGCAGAATGGCTGGTAGTTTCGAACTGCTGACCTTGAAGTTAGCAGCCCAATTCATAACCCCTACACTACCAGGGCTCCTTGATGAGATAAATAGGGATTTCTATTAAGGGACTAATGTGTCCTGGTATGGCACTGTAGGATCAGCACTGGACTGTGAACCACAAGGTGGGCAGTTCAAACCCACCAGCTGTTCCTCGGAAACTCTACACAAGGCTGCTATGAGCCAAAATGGACACGACGGCACTATACAACAATATTAAGGGAATAAACATTCCTTGTTTAACACAAAAGCTGCAACCAAGCCCACTTAACCAACTCCATTGCCATAAAATTGATTCTGATTCACAGCAATCCTATAAGACAAAGTAGAACTGTCCCACAGGATTTTCCAGCCGTAATTTTTCCTAAAGCAGATAGCCACATCATTCCCACAGAATGACTGGTGGGTTTGAGCTCCCAACCATTTAGTTATCAGTCCAGTGCTTTAGCCATTGTACCAGCAGGGCTCCTCACGAAAAAGCCACACCCTGAAAAATTGTGAAAATCAAGTAATATTGTAATCACACCACGAAAGTGTGCTTAAAGAACGCCTATAGAGTCCCTTTCACAAAGCAAATATTCCCTCAATTTTAACCAGCTTTCCAAATCTGGGTTTTCAGATTGAATTATAAAGTATATATATTGGGTTATGGAGTCCTGGTGTGCCATTGTAGGATAAGCACTAGATTGCTAACCACAAGGTCAGCAGTTCAAACCCACCAGCCACTCCTCAGAAACCCTATACAGCAGAGGATGGAAAACATCTGACCAGCGAAATCATTTGGTGTGACTCTGCTGCCAAGGCAATCGCAGTCACAGCCATTACATTTGTCGTTGTTGGCCAGTGCCATTGAGTCGGTTCCAACTCACAGCAAGCATTCTTAGGGTTTCCTAGAAGCAGCTGGTGAGTTTGAACCGCCAACCTTGTGGTTCAAACCGACTTTGTAGTGTAGCACATTAACCTACAGTGCCACACCAGGACTTCAGCCATCACGTTGTTGTTGTTGTTAAGAGCCATCAAGTTGATTAGGACCCATAACGACCCTGTATAGGATTTTCGAGGAGCAGCTGGTAAGCTTGAACCACTGACCTTGCAGTTCAAACAGCTTTGCAGTCTGGCGTATTAACCCACCAGCCATCACGTTGTTGTTGTTGTCAAGTGCCATCGAGTCAATTCTGACCCCTAGCGACCCTGTATAGGGTTTCCAAGGAGCAGCTGGTGAGCTTGAACTGCCAACCTTGCAGTTCAAATGGCTTTGCAGTCTGGCACATTAACCCATTACATTGTGTTGTTATTGTGCCATGGAGTTGGCTCCAAGTCATAGCGACCCTGTACAGGGTTTTAGAGGCTGTAAATCTTTATGGGAGCAGAAAGCCTCATCTTTCTCTCACAGAACAGCTGGTAGTGTTGAACTGCTGACCCTGAGGTTAGCAGCCCCATTTGTAACCACTACGCTACCAGAGCTCCTTAACCCATCACATTGTTGTTGTTGTTATGTGCCGTGGAGTGAGTTCTGACTCATAGCGACCCTGTATAGGTTTTCCGAGGCTGTAAATCTTTATGGGAGCAGAACGCCTCATCTTTCTCCTGCAGAACAGCTGGTAGTTTCGAACTGCTGACCCTGAGGTTCGCAGCCCGATTCGTAACCACTACGCTACCAGAGCTCCTTACCCATTACATTAGGGGTGAGTTAATTAAACTAGACCAAATACAGCAGGCTAATTTTTAAGTTGGTAATTTTGCATGGTCCATGAATGATGTTATAAATAGCCAAATGGCCCCTGGCCGAATAAAAGGTTCCCCACCCCTGCTATACAGGGTTGCTGAGTTGGTAGCACCTCGTCAGCACTTAACAATAAATGGGTTACCACCCAATCCATCCAGCTAACCTGAGACTGCTATGCTAATGTGGTGCCCTCACACAAGAAACCAGAACCCTGCTGCTAACCTCACACAAAAATACCTTTGTATGGGGCAGTGTATAGGTGTCACTGTCAGAGGCAGGCCCCCGGTAGCAGGCTAGACCCAGGTTTGCAATGCTGTTATCCTCTGCGAGATTATGAAACCACAAAGGAATCCATCTGCCCTCCTCTCTGTTGGCTGGACTGAGTAACCTGAAATCAGTAGGACTGTGTGTAAATGGTATGAATTGGGTCATTTCTTAAAATCATGGTTCTTGAAAGTGACTTACTTGGTTGTCTTTAGTAATTCAATTTCTTTATAATTTATAGCTTACTTATAAACTACAAAATGGTAGTGGCTGTGGAAAACTAACTTCTCATCTATTGCTACAATAAAGTAGGACTAGACTATGAAGAACAAAATCATTTTTCAACTCAAGTAACAAGTACTACATGTTAAAGTAAAACTTACTAAAAACAGAGAACCAGCTGACTGACTTTCTTAAGACTTCTCTAGTCTATATGGCTTGTACAAGTAAATGGAGCTTAAAGATGTTTCAGGGAAAACAGAGGACAGAGGACTGGAAAGTAATCAGCATTCCTTAAGATGGTATTTGGGAATACTCCTTAAAATAACAACAAAACAATTCATTTACAAATAATGGCAAGTCAATACCTAGACAGGGCCTCATTGGTAAGATGCTCTAGAAGTTCATGTTCATCTCCAAGCTTGCAACAGGAAAGGTCCAGGCAGGTCAGCTCCCGAAAAGACTTAATCTCTTCAAGTTTTTCTGAGATCACCAGATATCTGTGGAGTTTAGAGAACAGTGAGCAACTTTTTCTTTTCTACAAACGTATCATTGTTGCTTGGGGCTATTATGTAATAGCGGACTTCACTGATTACTATCTGGGCACAATACAAGTTTGAGTACCTGCCCTCTCACTATGCTTGTTATCCTGCTAACTTCACTCCAAAAGTATGTGCAGCATGACTGCTATGAGGACTCACTCTAATCTACATGGTTATTAGGAAAAACCTGGGAGTCCCAGCAACTTAATTACATTGGAGCAGCTTGCCAAATTGTTATCAGGAAGCATCAAGGAGGCCTCTGGAGAAGACAAAGGAGATCAAAAAGGCATTCCAGAGCCCAGGACGGGGCCTCCACCCTGCTTTTTATTTTGTTCATCTATTTCAGATGAGGTCAATGATATAAAAACAAAACAAAAAGGGTTTAGGTGTGACAGGAAACAGAGAGGAGAGGACCCTAATAGGTAAGTCACTTGTGGCAAGAGCATGCCTTTCTCATTCCACTTTCCTCTAGGATGTACAGAAGCTTCCACAGCAAGATGACATGCCAGTACCAGCAAGGTTATACATAAAAGTTTACAGCTCTGTCAGCAGAATACATGCCAAAATCAGGATGGAATAACCAGAGAAAAGGACTCTGATCTTTTCTTCCTACTTCCAACCAAAATAAGATGTACTCAAACCGATCGCAGGCCTGAGTGCTAGTTACAGATGGCTTGGGGTACTGACATCCCCATTTAACTTTGTAACCTGAGTTGCCTGGCCATGGAGCTCAGCTGGGTACACAAACGAGCCTTATTTACTCAGACGTTTTTAAATTGCACTGCAAATAATGCTGCTGTTTTCCATCTTCCAATCACGGAGTTGAAGTGGGTTAATGGGGATTGGGGAGATTACTGGCTGGCAATCAGAGAAAGTAAAATACACATCCTTTGCTCAAGTAACCAAAATATTTTTAGTTCTATAACAAGAGTTATCTGCAAAGGACGTTAACTGTGTAATGTGATTACGGAACATTATAAAAATCAAGGCTGAAAAACCAACATGCAAGGCCACGGGCATTATTAGATGCTAAACTGGTAGCGTAATGGTTACAAATCGGGCTGTGAACCTTAAGGTCAGCGGTTCGAAACTACCAGCTGTTCCGCGGGAGAAAGATGAGGCTCTCTACTCCCGTAAGGATTTATACCCTCGGAAACCCTGTACAGGGTCGCTATGGGTCGGAACCGACTCGACGGCACTTAACAACAACAACAATCCTAGACTTAGGGATCACTGATGGCGTGGTGATTTAAGGGTTGGGCTGCTAACCACAAGGCCAGCACTTCTAATCCACAAGCTGCTCCATGGGAGAAAGATGAGGCTTTCTGCTCCCATAGACTTACAGCCTAGGAAACCCTATACAGGGTCACTATTAGTCGAAACTGACTTACGGCACGCAACAATAGTCCAAGACATAATCCAAGCTTGGATCTTGCTTGCAACTACTCTTCCAATTTTTTCCTTAAAGAATTCTGAGCACAGACATGATTTAGTGTGAGACAAAGCCGAGTTTGGATTCTAACAGCCTTATTACTTGTGTAATTTTAAGGATTTTACTTAAACCTCTCTGAGCCTCTCACATGGAGTTAACAACTATTTCTTTTCAGTATAATTAGAAAATCAGAAACAATATTAAAAAATACGTGGCATCTTATAGGCTCTTGTGAAATGGTAGTAATTATTACTACTTCAGTTACACAGGGTGATAATTTTAAGGAAAACATACTGCCTCCTTAGGATTAAAAAATCACTAATGTTTCAACACAAGAGTGGATAGAATTTTGTGGGGTTAAAATCCAGTTGCAAACACACTGGCTTCTTTTGTCAGGCAGCTCTGTGGCCCAACCCCAAGAGAGCAAGTGCCTACGCCTATCCAATTATCTTATTTTCAATTATTTTCTAAAGCTTTGGCTTGAGCAATTTCCCTTTGATCTGAAGCCTCTGTGCTAGTGAAACATTTCGTTGCTAGAGCTCCAACCTGAATTGCAAAGGCAACCCCAAATATCCCATCCTCTATTTTCTTTTAGGGATTCGAAAAGAAAACAGGTTTCCGTTCACAAGTCAAAGTCTTTACTCTTCCACCTAAGAGAGTAAAATGTGGAATTCTTGCAACAAGGTATGAGTCAAAAGATGGTAAGATTTTTCTTACATTTTCTGGTTATAAAAGTAATGACTGTTCACTGAAGAAAAAAACTCAACAAGATATAGAAAAGTACAAGGAAAATTAATAATGACTTCAATTGCACCATATAGACAATGAGTTCATTTTGGTACATTTCTCCTTTTTCTTAAGGGACCTTAAAAAGTTGGTGGAAACCATTTTCCTCGAACTTGTTGAAACCCATGCATCTAAGTGTGTGTGTGTATGTATAAAAGAATTAAATTTATATATACTGTATATTAATTTTGTTTAAAAAGATAACTATATTGCATATGAAGTCCAGGTGTGACACTGTAGGATAAGCACCAGACTGCTAACTGCAAGGTCAGCAATTCAAATTCATCAGCCGCTCCCTGGAAACCCAATACAGGGTCACTACAAGTCAAAATTGACTCAATGGCACTAAAAACAACAAACATATTGCACGTATGTATTTGTACAGATAAATATACATAGGGACTTCAAAAATTCATGGAAAAATCGTAATAATGGAATTTTCCACAAACTTTTTTGAAGGCCTCATGATTATGTATGTAAATATACATGCAATAAAATTATATATTTTAAACACAACTGTATTATATAGTAAAATTATTTTTCAATTATATATATATCAAGAGTATTTTATTTTACACCATTTGGAATAATCTTGGTATGTTATTCTTAACAGCTACATTTCATCATATGATGTATCATAATTTGTTTCACCAATCCTCTATTGTCAGGCATTTATATAATTTTCAGATTTCCACTATTACAAATGGTACTACAAAGAACACACATAAGTGGGGGCTTCAAAAAGTTCACAGAAGATCAAAACAATTACAATGTGATAAAAGGTAAACACAGAAGAACAGAGATCCAGGTGGTGGGAAGGTCAGGTAGATTACTGGATAAAATAGACTATCT